TATTTGAGAATAATAGCAACAGTTAATTATAAAAGTAGATACTTTTTCATGTTCATTTCCATCATCCATTGATCTAAGTGTACCACCATTTCTAAAAACAGTATATAATACAGCAAATAACAGGAGCATCACACAGCAGTTGACACGGGTATACATGTTTATCTCACAGCCATTAACACGGGGTATACCTGTTTATCCCACAGCAGTTACCACGGGGTATACCCGTTTATCATGCTGCTGTTAATATGGGGTATACCTTTTTATCTCACAACATTTAACACGGGGTATACCTGTTTATCGTGCTGCTATTAACATGGGTATACCTGTTTATCTCACAGCAGTTAACACGGGGTGTACCTGTATATCTTACAGCATTTAATATGGGGTATAACTGTTTATCTCACAGCATTTAACACCATGGGGTGTACCTGTTTATCTCACAGCATTTGACACGGGGTATACCTGTTTATCGTGCTGCTGTTAACATGGGTATACCTGTTTATCTCATAGCAGTTAACACGGGGTGTACCTGTTTATCTCACAACAGTTACCATGGGGTATAACTCTTTATCTCACAGCATTTAACACCGGGAATACCGGTTTAAACCACAGCATTTAACACGGGGTATACCTGTTTATCGTGCTGCTATTTACATGGGTATACCTGTTTATCTCACAGCAGTTACCATGGGGTATAACTGTTTATCTCACAGCATTTAACACCGGGTATACCCTTTTATCTCACAGCAGTAAATATGGGGTATATCTGTTTATCATGTTGCTGTTAACATAGATATACCTGTTTATCTCACAGCATTTAACACGGGGTAGCCAAATGCATTAAACAACAATTAAGCTGGTGTGCAACATTGTATCACAAAGCAGTTTACCCGGGCTATACCAATTTCATATACCATTCAAGATATTTATTGTACAAAACACCCTCAAGTGACAGGGTACACAATCTATACTACAAATATAACATGCACATATAAGACTTTCACTGTGTTTTGAATAATGTCACAGAGAAATGTACTCTCTTACAATGCAGCAGACAAACCTGGATATGTTTGTGTGAAGTATATAGCCGGCATCGTACAATCGACTCTGCTTGTGGCAGAGATTTCTTATGAATATGGAAAGGGTTTTGTCGGTTTTATTTAATTTCGTGTATATTTTTCTCCTTGAGCGCATATGTTAGAAGCATGGGCCAACTTCATGGGTTCTAAAACCTAAACGTAGGGCTTCTTCAGTTCTCACGAGCCAGGTTCCTGGAACAAGTTGACGTGTTCAACTGTATGTATTTGTCACGGGGGTCTGCAAAGAATGATCCTATTCCAATTTCACCTGTGCTCAAATAGAGCCACTTGTCCCCGACCCCCTCCCCCGACCAAGGCTCCCTGACATCAATGCGCTTCCCCCTGCTGTGCTGCCGTTATCAACCAAGGCAAAGAAAAATGAGTAAAAACGACGTAAATAATATGTGCACGTGCGTTATCAGCGCGGGTGTCGTTTATCTCCGCCTAGCTGCCGGGACGATCAGGCCACGTACATGAGAGTGAAAGAGAAGGATGGGAAGAGTGAGAGTGGTCTTGGAGGGGTGTGGGAGGGGGTTGAAACGGGATTGAGAGGGGGTGGTAGGATGCTGAAAGGAGCTTTGAAGGGTGAGGGAAGCAACTTGGACGGTAAGATTTGGAGGGCTGTGGGAGAGGACTGGGATGGTTGGGATGGAGGGGGCTACATTGAAACAGGAAAAGGATGAAGTAAAGAGAGGGGACTGAAAGGGGGTCGGAATTATTTAAGGGGGTGGGAAAAGCTGCGAGATGGTCTGGAGGGCTGTGTGAGGGGGCTGGGAGAGTACAGGAATGGTTGGGAGGGCAGGGCTACATGGAAGCAGGGGAAAAGGATGAAGAATAGAGCTGGGACTGATAGGGGGTCGGAAGGGGATGAGGAAGGCTGAGATGTGTGAAAAGGATACAGTCTATGATTAAAGTTATCAATGTAATTCCCGCAGCTTCAAGTAACACTTTTAAAAGACCATTTTCCGAAACACCAACCATTATGAATACAACCAGCCTTATAACTGACCATTTTCCAAAACACCAACCATTATGAATACAACCAGCCTTATAACTGACCATTGTTCCGAAACACCAACCATTATGAATACAACCAGCCTTATAACTGACCATTGTTCCGAAACACCAACCATTATGAATACAACCAGCCATATAACTGACCATTGTTCCGAAACACCAACCATTATGAATACAACCAGCCTTATAACTGACCATTTTCCGAAACACCAACCATTATGAATACAACCAGCCTTATAACTGACCATTGTTCCGAAACACCAACCATTATGAATACAACCAGCCTTATAACTGACCATTTTCCTAAACACCAACCATTATGAATACAACCAGCCTCATAACTAACCAACGTTAACTTTAACCCATATTTCCAGCATGCCAAACAGATAAAACCGACTTCATCACAAAACCAACCATTATCAATATGAAATAAGCCCACCTGTCACTGATACAAACTCAACTGCCGGGCAAAAGAAAGTATACCCCATTGTTTGATGGTAGCTTAATATGAAACACAAAAAATAGTTATTCGATGCTGATGTATTTGATACGGATACCATAGTTGTGGTTTGGTGACAGTTTTCAGCCTAATAACGTTTTATAAACGTTTGTATTTTTTGGTCAAATCCAATTTTCAAGTGTATACTTTCTTATGCCTGGCAGTTTCAAGCCAAGCTTTCAACGTAAACACGTCAATCCAACTTTCAACAAACCTAGAATTACGATTAAGTCTCCTTTCAGTAAACCCAAGATTCAATAATAAGCCCCCCTTCTAGAGAGCAGTTCAAAAATTCGATGTCGGATAAAAATCTTAATAGGTCTGCAAGTTTTCCATCTTTTCAAAAATAAGCTTTAGCGAGGTTTTTCAGTTCAAGTCAATAAATAACATCTCTAATCGTCACGTTTCCACTCCGAAAATGAACAGCATCACTATCGTCGGTAAAACGAGATGAAACACAAGACAGATCCTGCCAGTTCAAAACCTTCCCTTGTGTGGTGGTGGTGGTGGTGGTGGTGATGTTTCTCCACAAGTAATGGGGTGCTGTTTTGAAACACGTATGCTATGGTATAATGAGTTGTGTCTTTTCTGAAAATATCTTTGAGGACGCCAACATTTTCACAATCAGGATTTAGGGTATCAAAACATGGAATTAAGTTTTTTGATCGACATCGGTCTTCAGAACTGCTCTCTTTACAAACAAAAGAGTTTGAACAAGCCCACCTTTCAACAAAGCTATATTCATGAATAAGCCAAGCTTCCAACAAACCGAGCATTGTGAAAACAGCTGCTTATAATGAGTATGCGTCTCCCACGTCAAGAGACTGTCCTCACCCTTGAATAAAGCCTAAAGGTGAATTACCTATCGCCATCTGTCAATCAAACAACAGTACTGACCAATCAGAAAATTCGTAATGAGATACAGAATCCGCCATTTTGTCCGACAACTTTCAAACTGTCGGCGTCTAGTTAAGTGACAGGCATAAATTTATTTCATATACAAGAGGAGAGTGAGTGAGTATGGTTTTACGCCGTTGTTAGCAATATTCCAGCAATATCACGGCGGGGGACACCAGAAATGGGCTTCACACATTGTACCCATGTCGGGAATCGAACCCTGGGGATGACGAGAGAACGCTTTAACCACTAGGCTACCCGACCGCCCCCGTATAAGGGGAGAGACAAAATGGCTGAGTATTTTATAAATGCATCTATAACTATTGAAATACATTTGACATGACCACACATGGTGTGAAAATATAAATGTGTCGGGCAATGCAACGTGACATGGTATAAGAGGTAATCATGTAAAGAATGTACATGTGGATGACTTCTTCTCCCTAGAACATTGAGGCCGTGGTTAATTTCTCAGGCAATATGTTAAAAACATTGGTCATCCGCTTTTATCAAATAAAATTCATCAAAAGTTCAGTGGACAGGCTGGATGTTTGTAAAATAATGCCTTGTTGGTCCCAAAAGACTCGTGTCGCCCCTCCTTTGAGACGAAACAAAATATGCCTTGATTCGCTGACTGCAAATATAATCAATCTTCAACATACATCGGGGCACCTGGAATATTATACAGTGGCTTCGTAAGATGCATCGGCTGAACTTGGCCGTGAACCGTTAAAGTGAGGTTATGGAGTGGTGCGTTGTCCCTCGCAAACGTTTACATTTTCGACATATGTGGTGGACCCTAAGGCTTGTAAGGATAAAACAAGGATGGTAACAGCAATGTGGTCTATTAAATTTAGGAATACGGATACGATTTAAAACATGGCCGCCATGCCGTTATCATAAAATATGCTAGCATCTGATCTGTGGAGTCACATATAAAACTGCTAAATTTTGAAATTCATTTACCCCCATTATACCCTCAGACTTCTGGGTAATTACGTATTTGCATGTATGTGATCCATGCATGTTTCTGAAAACTTTACGCTTTCGATCTAATTACAAATATGTCCGTCACGGCAGCCATATTGCATGTGCCTTTGTGCTCATTACCAGACTTTTCATGCATGTATCGTTATGAAATATGTATGTTGTTTTGATGTATCGAAAAATGGGTTACGCACTTTTTACATCTTCTCGTTTATCCATTTTTAAAGTCCTTAACCAATGTTAGCGAAGAGTGTGGGTCTAGTGTTCCTAACACATGTTCTGGTAAACTGTTGTTGTTTTTGTTTCCATTCCCCATTGGAAATATACAGCAGGTTGAAGAGAAAAAAAGTTGAAAAATGACTTTTTTCTTTAACCCAACACGCATGCAAATTGCTCCTCTGGTCTGTCTTGACAAGTGTTTCGTTGTGTACAAGGACTAGCCTAATTCATGTTTAATTCTGTCCTCCTTTTTCTATCAATGTGCCGATGTTAATCAGCATGTCCGTGGTCTTCTGTTTCAGACCTGGCCGTTCACCTTCTCTGGGAGGGTCATCGGCGGGGACAACAAGCCGTTAGACGCGCTGAAAATCTCAGCTAAACAGGACACCTGCGCCAAGTGCTGATTTCATGTTTAACAAATACAACATTGTGATACGGGGCTCCTGTGTAGAGCTACACATGAACTCGTGGTTATTTACTGGTCGACTAATGGTTGATGTGCTTCCAATGGTCTGTCCCACGTACCAAATTGCTCTACAATATCACAGGACAAACGACAGGGGAAGAATCATCCTAGCAACACAGTGCAATTTGGGGTGACGTCTTCTTGTACCGTGAAAGTACATAGGAAGACCCAACCTGACACCACGGGAAGACTTTACTTATCATGCTGACACAGGAAGACGTATCCTAGCGACACCTGAAGACGTATAATAGCGACACAGGAATACTAAACTTATCCAAGCGACACAGGAAGGAGTATCCATGGACACAGGAAGACGTATCCTAGCGACACAGGAAGGCTTACCTTGTGCTAGTGACACAGGAAGACTTTACTTATCCCAGTAACACAGGCAGACTTAACATATCCCAGCGACACAGGAAGACTTTACTTATCCCAGTAACACAGGCAGACTTAACATATCCCAGCGACAAAGGAAGACTTTACTTATCCCAGTAACACAGGCAGACGTAACATATCCCAGCGACAAAGGAAGACTTTACTTATCCCAGTAACACAGGCAGACGTAACATATCCCAGCGACAAAGGAAGACTTTACTTATCCCAGTAAAACAGGCAGACGTAACATATCCCAGCGACAAAGGAAGACTTATCCTTGAGACACAGGTGCGCTTATCCTAGACACGTCATTTTGACGCGCCTGTCAGTGTGGAGTGTCCGGCGAGTAATGGCGTCTCTAATGTGACATAAATAAATGTGAGACGAGAACAGTAGAAGCGACTGTGACGTTACGTAGAACGTGACGTTTTGCGTCGCGCCATGATAGCCGAGCCATGTTATAGTATCAGTACGTGTTTGTGAAGTGATGTTTTGTCAAATTCCAGTAAAACTTGGTACATTATTAAAACTGTTTTCTTTTCGAATGATGCTGGTTAAATGAGATTTTATATATATCAACATATGCGTTATCATTGAGATAACAGACATCGGTTAATAAATTTATTTAGCCTACATGTCAGATATTAACTGTATCACCTAGATAACAGATAACAGGGAACAAAGCTGTATCACCTGGATGACAAATATCAGGCAATATAACTATATCCCATAGATGACAAATATCAGGCAACATAACTTTATCACTTGGATGACAAATATCAGGCAATATAACCATATCACCTGTATGACAAATATCAGGTAATATAACTATATCACCTGGGTGACAAATATCAGGTAATATAACTATGTCCCCTGGACGACAAATATCAGGCAATATAACTATATCACCTGGATGACAAATATCAGGCAATATAACTATATCACCAGGATGACAAATATCAGGCAATATAACTATATCACCTTGATGACAAATATCAGGTTATATAACTATATCACCTTGATGACAAACATTAGGCAACATACCTATATCACCTTGATGACAAACATCAGTCAATATTACTATATCACCTTGATGACAAATATCAGGCAATATAACTATGTGACCAGGATGACAAATATCAGGCAATATAACTATATAACCTTGATGAAAAATATCAGGTAATATAATTATATCACCTATATGACAGATAACAGGTAATATAACTATATCACCTGCATGACAAACATCAGGCAATATTACTATATGACCAGGATGACAAATATCAGGCAATATAACTATATCACCTAGATGACAGATAACAGGTAATATAACTATATCACCTGCATGACAAACATCAGGCAATATTACTATATGACCAGGATGACAAATATCAGGCAATATAACTATATCACCTTGATGACAAATATCAGGTCATATAATTATATCACCTAGATGACAGATAACAGGTAATATAACTATATCACCTGCATGACAAACATCAGGCAATATTACTATATGACAAGGATGACAAATATCAGGCAATATAACTATATCACCTAGATGACAGATAACAGGTAATATAACTATATCACCTGCATGACAAACATCAGGCAATATTACTATATGACCAGGATGACAAATATCAGGCAATATAACTATATCACCTAGATGACAGATAACAGGTAATATAACTATATCACCTGCATGACAAACATCAGGCAATATTACTATATGACCAGGATGACAAATATCAGGCAATATAACTATATCACCTTGATGACAAATATCAGGTCATATAATTATATCACCTAGATGACAGATAACAGGTAATATAACTATATCACCTGCATGACAAACATCAGGCAATATTACTATATGACAAGGATGACAAATATCAGGCAATATAACTATATCACCTAGATGACAGATAACAGGTAATATAACTATATCACCTGCATGACAAACATCAGGCAATATTACTATATGACCAGGATGACAAATATCAGGCAATATAACTATATCACCTAGATGACAGATAATAGGGAACATAACTATATCACCTTGATGACAAATATCAGGTAATATAACTATGTCCCCTGGATGACAAATATCAGGTTATATAACTGTATCACCTTGATGACAAACATTAGGCAACATACTTATATCACCTTGATGACAAACATCAGTCAATATTACTATATGACCAGGATGACAAATATCAGTCAATATAACTATATGACCAGGATGACAAATATCAGGCAATATAACTATATCACCTTGATGACAAATATCAGATAATATAACTATATCACCTTGATGACAAATATCAGACAATATAACTATATCACCTTGATGACAAATATCAGGCAATATAACTATATCACCTTGATGACAAATATCAGGTTATATAACTATATCACCTTGATGACAAACATTAGGCAACATACCTATATCACCTTGATGACAAACATCAGTCAATATTACTATATCACCTTGATGACAAATATCAGGCAATATAACTATGTGACCAGGATGACAAATATCAGGCAATATAACTATATCACCTTGATGACAAACATCAGTCAATATTACTATATCACCTTGATGACAAATATCAGGCAATATAACTATATAACCTTGATGAAAAATATCAGGTAATATAATTATATCACCTATATGACAGATAACAGGTAATATAACTATATCACCTGCATGACAAACATCAGGCAATATTACTATATGACCAGGATGACAAATATCAGGCAATATAACTATATCACCTAGATGACAGATAACAGGTAATATAACTATATCACCTGCATGACAAACATCAGGCAATATTACTATATGACCAGGATGACAAATATCAGGCAATATAACTATATCACCTAGATGACAGATAACAGGTAATATAACTATATCACCTGCATGACAAACATCAGGCAATATTACTATATGACCAGGATGACAAATATCAGTCAATATAACTATATGACCAGGATGACAAATATCAGGCAATATAACTATATCACCTTGATGACTAATATCAGATAATATAACTATATCACCTTGATGACAAATATCAGACAATATAACTATATCACCTTGATGACAAATATCAGACAATATAACTATATCACCTTGATGACAAACATCAGGCAATATAACTATATCACCAGCATGACAAATATCAGGCAATATAACTATATCACCAGGTTGACAAATAGCAGGCAATATAACTATATCACCTTGATGACAAATATCAGACAATATAACTTTATCACCTTGATGACAAACATCAGGCAATATAACTATATCACTTGGATGACAAATATCAGGCAATATAACTATATCACCTGTATGACAAATATCAGGTAATATAACAATATCACCTGGGTGACAAATATCAGGTAATATAACTATGTCCCCTGGATGACAAATATCACGCAATATAACTATATCACCTGGATGACAATTATCAGGCAATATAACTATATCACCTTGATGACAAATATCAGGTTATATAACTATATCACCTTGATGACAAACATAAGGCAACATACCATACATAATATAACTATATCACCTTACGGAAGCCTAGTAGGGCCACGGGGAAATTTTTATTGTATATAAGATATCACAGTAGAAACGACGTCATAGCTGAAGATGAAGCTGTTGACGTCATTCGACCAATTGTTGTTCCGCAGCTGATGCGACTTGCTGTTCTTATAGGTAAACACTAAAGTGCGTCCCTGTATCTAGACATCTTCTTCGGTAATAAATAGAACATCATATTCGTGTTCATGTCATACTATGTTTACGACACTCGTGCCTAAATTCCGGTATTTCACTGGTTCTCGCTCGAGAAATAACGGAATTTAGACACACGAGTGTCGTAAACATAGTTTGACATGGACACGAACATACTATCCTCTGTCACCTCGATGACAAATATCAGCGAACAGCCATATTACCTCGATTACAGATATCATCTTGAATATTGCTGACTGTGGCGCAGGAGTCACGCTCCAACTCACCACGTATCTGTGATGTGTTTACTAAGATTCTGAAAGACGTGTACGAGGTGTCCCCATACATCAATGAGTCTACATACACAACACACTATATTCAGACATAATACATACAACGATCCCTACAATCAGCAAAACCTGCATTTCACTTAACCGTGGCAGACACTTTAACCTTTATTGGCACAGTTTACCAGAAAGGTTGTCCGATGTGAAGCAACTAACAAATCTGATGTGCCCCCGCCCTCCACTTGGGGCACTCGCTCACATCCAACATGCGCCATGTCCCAGTGCATCCTGGCCTGAGTTTGTCAAGGTGTCCTCTAGGGGGCGCTCGACACAGATACCCTGGCCGTGTTATCTGCGAAAGCCCACAACTCCCAGACGTTTGTCACGCCCCACGTGCGCGGATGTGATATGCTCCCTCACTTCCTCCGCCAAGAAAGCCAATTTAGATAATATATTTGTTATTAATTTTATTTAATGAGACGTTTGCCGAGTCTGCCTAGGTTACCAATCTATCCACATTATTATTTGCGATCCACTGTGCCGAGCAGTGTAGGGGCACTTGTGTGGGAGGGGCACGTGGACGGCAGCTTTCTGCTGTGGAACATGGAAGGAGAGAAAGGTAGAGCATAGGAGAACGTAGCTGTATAACAAAAACAATGAAAAAAAGCATTGACCCCTTTGGCCTCGGAGGGTACAACAAAGAAATTGTACAGCAGTGTATTCCTGTGTGTAGATTTATGCAGGTCTGGAAAAACGTCGACCTTGGGTAGGGAAGAGTTCAATATGTTTGTTTGTTTAACGCCGCACTCAGCAACATGCTAGCTATATGACGGCGGTCTGTCAATAACTGAGACTAGACCAGACATCATGACATCATTAGCATCGATCCACTCAATTGGGATACGCTGACATGCATCAACCAAGTCAGCGAGCCTGACCACCCGATCCTGTTAGTCGCCTTTTACGACAAGCATAGTCGACCCTTACGGTAAGCATGGTTTGCTGAAGACATATTCTAACCCGGATCTTCACGGTTTCAATATGTTTGGAAGTAAGTGATGAATTGGGGAGTTAGAAGGTCAAGAAGGGTAGAGTTGAAGATCTCACGTAGAAGGTCAAGAAGGGTAGAGTTGAACATCTCATGTAGAAGGTCAAGAAGGGTAGAGTTGAACATCTCTGGTAGAAGACCGTAAAGGATAGAGTTGAACATCTTTGGTAGGAGGTCAAGAAGGGTTGAGTTAAACATCTCTGGAAGAAGGCCAAGAAGGGTAGAGTTGAACATCTCTGGTAGGAGGTCAAGAAGGGTAGAGTTGAACATCTCATGTAGAAGGTCAAGAAGGGTAGAGTTGAACATCTCATGTAGAAGGTCAAGAAGGGTAGAGTTGAACATCTTTGGTAGGAGGTCAAGAAGGGTAGAGTTAAACATCTCTGGAAGAAGGTCAAGAAGGGTAGAGTTGAACATCTCATGTAGAAGGTTAAGAAGGGTAGAGTTGAACAACTCTTGTAG